ACAGTAATAAAGGCCTTACCAAATAGCCAATAACACTAGAAATCCATGGTATCCAAGATATGGATATGTAGTATATACAAATATATTCACTAATAGTCAAGGTGATTCAAAGGGCTGTACGATATTGGAAAAAAATTATATTGTGATATTTTATTTTTCTGCGATACATATTGCGATATGAATGGTTTCACGAGATAGTTTGAATATTTGACAGATTTCTGAGTAGTTTAACAGTATTCAGGTACAAAAATTAAACAATCGAGATGCTAAAAATGCTTTTCTTCCTTTTTTTTGTTTCTAGTCCAAATATAATAATAATTTAGATAAAGTGATCATATTGTATTGTTTTTACCTTCAGAAGAAAAAAAAAGTAAAAAATTATATATTTTTTCCCTAAAACATGTAAACTTGCCAATGAGGCAAGTAAAAACAAAAACAAAACAAACAAAAAAAACGTGTTTTTACTTTGAAATGTAGATATTTGGGCTAGAAACAAGACAAAAACCTCATTTTCTTTTCATAAATCATAAAAAATTACTGATACAGTTAATAAATACAATTCTGTAGCTCCTGGTCAACCATAATTCAAACTCAACATTCCAAATCTTCCGATGTGAATATTGTGAATGTGCACATTGCAATATGGATGCTGAAACGATATATTGTGCAGCCCTAATTCAAAGTACCTGCTTGGTCAGTATCAGAGTATAACATTAAAGTATCATGAATGACCAATCAGAATCCAGTATTCCAGAGACCCTTGTAATAATATTAGTTAATGCACTGTGAGTTAACAAGGACTAAAAATTAATTACTGTTTTTTTTTTTAATTCATTAATGTTAACATAAGAAAATGATGAATAAATACTGTAATGAATGTATTGATTATTGTTTCATGTCATGTCAGTAAATATAACAAATAAATATAACAAATGCAACCTTTCTGTAAATTGTTAGCAATATTATAACACCGAGACAGGATTAAATGGCTCACTGTTGAGAATTATATATGGTCCAGGGTCATGTTTTGAAGTGTGTTTCACTTTGTCAAGTAGATTAGTGAGGTTTAAGTCAACAGGCCATCAAAGCCTTTATTTTGACCAAGGGAGCAAGTCTACTTTGTATGAACAATCCTGGCACCATATACAGTTTTACAATACAATATGGCTGCAGCAGCTTGCATTTGCAGTCCATATAGTTTCCAAATGCTTAAAGGTTTAAGGCATTTCATTTAAACCTATTTCAGCCCATTAAAACCCATGCCAATGAGATGGAAGCGAGTTATCAAGGAAAGGCCATGTAAATTTGGACTGGAGGGGCAGTCTCCCTCCAGAAATCAGGGGCTTGAGCATCTGTCTTGAAGTAAAAACTTTCCTCACTGACTTGATGAGTGGAACACACTTCAAAAGGGCATCGGGGATTCTCTTGAGAAGAAGTGCTTGGGGAAGTTTAAGAGGGTCTGTCTAAAAGCGGAGTGAAACACAGCCCATGTCTAATTGTAAAGCTGTTTTTACATTTGACATTTTGGCTGTGTTCCAGTACAAATGTTTTATGCCATTCCCTCATTAACCAGTAGTGTCTGGATGCAGCCTTTATGATGCAAGCTGAGATAGCATCACTCAGCGATGCAATATCAGACACAATTCTCTCAAATGGAGCAAATGATGTCATTGTAAGGGGTAGGGTTAGGAGTGGGGTTAGGTGAGCCCCAATCCCAATTTCCTTTTTTGACCCCTTCCCCTTAGCCCTTAAAACCGAGGGTGAAGGGGAAGGGCTTCAAAATTTACCCCTAAGAATTGGGACACAGCACTATACCACACCTGCACACGTCATCATATGTCACCGCCATCTCATGCTTCATGTGAGATCAGACGATCGCGACTGCTGTAGCTATTACTGTTGTGCTATTTTTTGGTATTTATCTTCAAAAAATCACTGAAGGCAAATATTTTGTAATCATAACGATCTAATGTCATAATAAGAGGGTAACTGTGCTGTGTATTTACACAGTGGCCATATTCATCTACGTAAACACAAAAACAAAAAGCTCATTCTCAGCCACTAGACTTTTCTGACAGGGTATTCATGCATCATCATGTGTCAGAATGTTGTGGGACTGCTATACAGGAGTTATGATTATGGATTATAGATTGCGAATTATTATTTTTTTTTTAAAAGCATGACAGTAAAACATGAACGCGGTTATGAAAATATTAAAACCTGTTGGTTTGTCATTAAATTCTGTATTAATGACAAAAAAATAAATAAATCTTTGTGCATCTCCTCACTTCCGGGTTCAGCAATACTGCCGTTGTGGCAGGTGTATTCTGGGAGATTTTCTTACCCCTTGATTTAGAGTGTGGCCCTGAAAAATCTTTGTTCGAAGGGCTATTCACCCCTTCCCCTTGGCCCTTTGCCTTTAAGCTAAAGTGAATTGGGACACCGCTTTCCCATTGGCATGAAGGCGCAAAACAAGGGGTAGGGGTAAGGAGAAGGGCTAAGGGGTGGATTTGGGATTGAGCCTAAAAAGCATTGGATGCAGCTCAGATTGCACTGGACCAGATCTGCATCCAGTCCCCTTTCTCATTAACTTCTTGCAAAGTTGACTATGTTACACACGTGTCCACTACTGGCAGAACTTGGGTTTAAATGGACGACCGTAAGTCTTTGGGCACTTGGGAACTACTATGCACTGTGGATGGAAGCTGCTGTCATGACCTCACAATCGTACTGAACTGTGGGACAAATAAGTACCTGGAGTGTACATACTGTATGACGTAGATTTAGTCGAGGGGTTTGTCCAGTTAAACCTAACTCTTCCCAAGCGGAACACACTGAAGACTGGCAGCAGGGATTCCCCCTAAAAGTAGAGTATATATGTTTTTCTCATTGGAAGTGTCATGTGACTTGAGGTTGGTTGGGCTTGACTGAGTTCATAGGTCAAATGTTTGACTTTGCATGCCATTTGATGTTAATTTGATTTATTCGGGGTTATTATAACTTTTCCAAAAACAAATATAAGGACTTTTCAAGCACTTTACAAATGCCGCAAATTGCATATATTAAAATATACATACTTCACCACATTAGGGCTAACTCCCAAAATGATTTGACAAATCCTGGATCTTTTAATCTTGATAACTGATCTGTGTCCAATTTGGTTCTTCAAACAAGTTTGTGAAATAGAAAAAAATACCTGGATGAACTGATCTGAGATCACTGCACTTGGTGTGAAGGACAGATCTATAAATCCTCGAAATCATGATTAGCAATGCAAGAATTGGCTGAGGGCACAGCAGCGTGATGACATCATCTGATTAATATTCAATTATCTGGGTGGGCAAAATTATTTACATTTTGTTATAAACTGTTTGTTAAATGACACGCAATAACTTTCCACCTCTGATGTGGGCTGCAGGCTTTACACTTTCATGTGTCAAGAATATTTAGCAATTTATTCAGTTTTACATTTAGAGCAGATTTTCTTTATTATATACTCTCAGAAATAAAGGTACATGAGCTGTCAGTGGGGCAGTACCTTTTCTAAAGATATTTGTACCCAAAAAGTCCACAGTGGTACCTCAAAGATGCAAATAAGTGTCCAGATGTACCTAAAAAGTACCTTTGAGGGACCATTTTGGACCCTTCAGGTACAAATATGTACCTTTTGAAAAGATACTGCCCCAGTGACAGCTCATGTACCTTTATTTCTGAGAGTGTAGTAGTCTAGGTCTATTCAAGTCTCTTAATAGCTGGCTGTTTAAGTTGATTTTGCACCAAAAAAAAAAAAAAAAGCATTTTGATATTGGTTAAGGTGTCTGCAACTTGCATAAATTATAATTCCTTTAAAAAAAATGTCTATTATGATACACAAATTGTACTAAAGCTGGAACCCTAAAATAGATTGCGTTTGTATCAAAGTCCATATTAATAAATGCTCTCTTTAAACCCCTTGGGGAGCAGTTTTTGTACTTTTATTTCAAAGTGCAGATTTCATAAGTTTGATTTATTTATATAATATTAAAAGTATTTTACTGCTTTCCCAAGTGTATATAACTATTACTGTAAGACCATATTCAATATATACTTTCAGCATTACCTTTGCTTGAAATGACCCGATCTAATCTTGTTTATATGAAATAAGCCTGCTTCCCCAGCAGGTTTGAGCTATACCAGAACTGTTGCTATGACAACAACTCTCGGATGATTTAAAAAACAAAATGATCCTGGATCGGGTCAAATCTTCAATAAGCAAATCCAGCTAAAGGAGTAATCTACGGACGAAGAACAGACCCCAGAACTTCATTCATTCATTCCACTACCTTCATCGCTCAAAAAATAATAATAATAAAAGGTATGGTACAAATACAGGTATTTGTGTGTTTAGATTCATTTTTGAAGGTTTCAAAGTTACAACACTTGGTTAAGAATAGTTAAAATGTTGTAATGAGCATATTCATTTATTGGTAGATTATTATTTATAACCACAGTCCCAACAAATACCACTACTATTAGAGTAGCAAAGCTATGGCTAGTTTGTGGTTGAAATTGGAAAGACAGACAGAGCTGCTTTTATAGCAGGTATTAACTAAAGCTGATAAACTGTCCTGATTTCATGTCACTTCTGAAATTGTGGGATAATTGTATTGCGCTAATCTGACAGGCCGAGTAAGCTAATTCAGTTAGCACATATTGCTAATTCAATTGTAATTCAATAATTTGCTAATTGTTTCAGCCTGCTAAAGCCATTACGTAAGGTTTAAACTTGACGCACAACTATACTTGAGTTAAAAGAAAAAACTAAAAAACTCATTAGCTAAAAAAACAATACTTATGTTTATAGAAGAAAGCCGAATTATTCAAACACTGTACTTCTATTCATTACAATGCTGTTTTCATTAATATGAAAGAAATAGGGCATCTATATTCTGACTATGGTCAGGATAAGCTGGCATTTCAACACAGTCATCAGTCAAATAAATGAAAGACATACCACAAACTGGCAGTTTAAATGAATGATAAATGTATATTTGCTTTTGTTTTGTTTTTTAAACTTAAATCACCGAGCATCATAAACAGAGGCATAGAATAACTGTAAACCAGAATCGAAAGAGACAGAGAGGATTTATGTACATATACAAAATTAATCAGTCAGTCCAGAGAAGAAAAGTATATTGGCGAAAAGAAAAGTAAAGAGAAAGATGGCAGAATGGAGAGGTATTGGTTACTGACGCACACACACATGGTGCAGATTCTTTATAAATATTTTTCTGTCATCCACACCTGGGTTGTGGTAGGTATTGTAGGTGTCTCTTGGGATCAGCTGCTGAAAGGTACAAGGAAACGTGTGTGTGTGTGTGTGTGTGTGTGCGCGCGCATGTGTTTCAGTGTGTCGCTCATAACAGCAGGCAGCCGCTTCTCTTCTTGCGCTTACGGACTTGCAGCGCCGCCCTGGTGGCCATTTCAAATACCTCTCGAACTCCATCCTTAGTTTTTGCAGAACACTCCAGGTATCCAAATGCACTGATTCTGTTGGCCATGTCACGGCCCTCCTCTGGTTTGACAGGTTCCTGAAACACACACATAAGATAAAAGGCAGCATTCTTTCAGCAAATAATCTCTCACGCTAGTTTCATTTTGTTAACAAAGTTCAGACTACCATAATTATTTTATCAAGGACATGTTTCAATTCTGTTCTATAACTTCTATTGAACTTTGTATCTATCCAATAACCCTGAAAAATGTTTTACCAATGTATTGCAGAAAAAAGTGAATGAAGTGGTAACATCAGATACGTATTTTCTATGCAAACATCTGTTAATTAAACAAATGATGTCACTGATTTGGTGAAAAAACACAAAATATCATATTTACAATATAAAAAGTAATTGTTTTATTACAGTTTGTCTTCTTATTACAGTCTTGAACATGTGAAAAATTAGTAACAACATTGGCCTTGACATATTGTTAGATTTTCATTTTTTTTCTTCCTAATTTACTGTCTGTTTTTGCCCCATTGACTTTTATTATAACCACATTTGATGGTGCATAATTACACAGTCTTTGTTTTTATTTACTTTTAGTTCCGAGAGAGCTGAGATGCATATTTTGATTTTCTCAGACACATCAATGTGTGTAAAGGTCACTCTCACACTTTCACACACTCAGACACATTTTAATTTGTTGTATACTCCATATAAAATCCAGCTTTTTTGCACAAGTTTAATGGTGCCAACTGATGATCAACAGTAAAAAATACAAATTTTACCTCTTCATAACCAGGAAATCCACCAACAATCAAAAATGCATGATTATATGGTGTCATGGTGTTGTAATAAAAAAATGTGGTTATAATGGAAGTCAATGGGTCAAAAACAGCCACCAACAGTAAATTAGGGACAAAAAAACTCAAATGCTGATTCATTTAGAAACAAAGCTATTATTGTTATAATCAATTCACTGACATAAATGATTTGTTTCACTACAGATTCATTCAGAAATTAAACAAGGCAGTGTGATGCTCAAAGATTTATCTGATCCAGCTTTCTTTTTACAACTACTTTCCTTAGCAAAAACAGTATTGTGTATAGAATTGAACAATTCCACTACATCTGCAGTGCTATATTGTGTTTAATAACATGTTTTGAACATTTTAGGAATAAAATGTTTACTTCTGCTTTGATATGCCAAAGCATATTACAGTATGCATCCTAAAAGCCCAATTAAATATGTATTATTACATTATAATATTTATCTAAATACATTTATTTTCATGTTGTCTTTTTGGGTCTCATATTTCAACTCAATTCACTAAAAATGCAGAATAATTTCAAGCAGGTTGTGCAGAAACTATGAAAACCATTCTTCCTGATACTTCCTGATAGACAGCTGGAACCTCATTGGCATGTCAAGGAAATGGTTTCAGTTTAATTAATTTTCACCACTGTTAAAAAAAAAAAATCATGGCTCTCTAAATTACTCGATTCTGATTGGTCAGACAGAACATTTCAAGACATGTTATATAAGAGATAAAGAACATCAAAGAGGTTTATCAGCAGCCCAACATGAATTGGAGGGCTGTTGTATAAGACTTAAGGGCGTTATTCTGTGAAAACAACTTCCTTAATGCATGTTATCCTACTTATTACACAGCTACTTGCTCCAAAACATTAAAATTACAAAAAACATTGTTCTGAGCCATAATAGTTTGTAAATTTTTTAATTAAATGGAAAGGTGACTGAAAACAAAACAGCTCAATGAAGCTGATGGAGCATACACTAACCTAATAATTATTTAGTTAAGTCACCAAAAACAAATGCTGCTGAATGGAACATTCACTAACCTAGATATTATTCAGTCACAAGATGGAAACAGTAATAAAAAAAAATAAAATAAAAAAAACTTTCAAAGACAGTGACGTGAAAGACAAGCAGATGTAAATGAATATGGGTGTAAATATATGGATGTGAACAGATTCACTGAGGGTCAAGGTGATTCGAAGTTGAGTCTGTATCTTATTCAAAGATTGTCTCAGAATAACATGCCTCGGAGTGCCACGACTGACCAATCAGAATCAAGTATTTCGGACAACAGTGTAATAATACATAGGTTAGTGCAGGGGTGTCCAAACTCGGTCTTGGGGGGTCGGAGTCCTGCAGATTTTAGCTTCAACTTGCCTCAACACACCTGCACGAATGTTTCTAGAGAGCCTAGTAAGAGCTTTATTAGCTAACCCAGGTGTGTCTGATTGGGGTTGGAAGTAAACTTTGCAGGACACTGGCCCTCCATAAATGAGTTTGGGCACCCCTGGGTTAGTGTATGCTCCATTCAGCCGTTTTTGCTTCTGTCAGCGTAATTTAATTTAAAAAATATATATAAATGATTACAACTCAGAACAATGTTTTGTATCTAATTAAAAAGAAATCAGCAATAACAACCGCCTGGATGCACTTTATCCCTTACTTAAACAGTTCATTCAAACAAACTAAAATTATATTAAAATTAAATACTAAATACTAAAATTACGATATGCATCGTGGCGTTATGACGATTTGATTACGAGATAACGTTCGTTTTCTCTTATTAGTTGAGCTGTTTGCACGTGAGCTACGTTCCACCTGCTGTCGCACGTGAGTTCAGATTGCAGCAGCAGTAATGTTAGCAGACCAAGATGAATGGAGCTGAAATAGAGGATGGCCCATCCTCTCAAAATCAGACGTCTGGCAACATTTCGGTTGTACAGTCATTGCTTTAGACTCGTCCGCTTTTTGACACGCATACTGGGTCACACATCCTAAGTTGTAAAGTCTTCACAGTGATTTACATACTTTGCACAGCTACCTAATGGTGTTGAAAGAGTCACATACTGTATTTATAAGGTACAATTCACCCTAAAATATCATTCTGTCTTCATATAATGATGTATTGGCGGCCGCAAAATCACACATGACGTGAGCTGTTACTACAGAGGGCGGACTATGATAGACGCGCGCGTATGGCAAGCCGTTTTAACATTTAAACCTTTGATCTGACTATCCATAAATATATTTAGAGATATCTCTAATTATATTTTGACTAGTCATAATTATAATTTGACTAGTCAAAATATAATTAGAGATATCTCTAAATGAATTTAATTAAATATGAATTAAATATATTTATGGATAGTCAGAACAAAGGTTTAAATGTTAAAACGGCTTGCCATACGCGCGCGTCTGCTTCAGTGAACAGAACCTGCAGGTTGTGACTAATAAAGTTGTAAACAATATTCAGTTTGTGGAACAGAGTGATCTTTCAGGAGCCGCGTAGGAAGTTTGAACAGCACTTAGCAGTGTAAATGAAACCGAAAACGTACACATTATTTAAACAATCATATCAAACAATCAAAGCTAAATTTGAGTACAGAGGTACACAAAAATGCAACATGATACACTTGATAGCGCCGACATCAGCGACGCCGAAGAAATAGTAAACCTGCCTAAACTGCTAAAAAGAGTCACGACTGTCCTGTGTAATGATAAGACGGCCACCCTGTCACTCATCATGCCCAACATGAAGACAGCCATCCATAAAAAGCTCTCAGACAGATACACATAAGTTCAGGATTATCTTATAGAACTGCTGATTACCTGGAAATGTGGATTTTTTTTGCACACACAAAAAACTCAAGTGACCAAGCAAAGCCTTAAGCTCTTACTGTTAAATTCAATTGAATAGAAAGCTTATTTTTTTTGCACCTTTACTTAAATTGTTCCTTAATTGTCTCTGTCATTTCAATAATATTTTTAAGAAGTTTTTAAATTGTTTTATTTTCCAGAGACAGGCCTGTTTAATATATTTTCTAAAAGAAGGTTCACTTTAACAAGTTAAAACAAAAGAAATACAAAAAAAATAGTTTACTTGTTAAAATTTGCATTTCAGTTAAATTTTCAATTTTTATTCCAAATATCGTGATACATATCAAATCGTGAACACTATATCGTGATACACATCGTATCGTGAGCTGAGTGTATCGTTACACCCCTAATATATATATATATATATATATATATATATATATATATATTTATTTATTTTTTTATTTTTTTTTTTTGTAAAAAGGAGCAATCAAACAGTAGTCTACATCGCAGTAGATATTTCTTTCTGTATTATGCTGAAAAATATCACATGACTAACAAACTGCCACATTCCTGTGGAGATAGAATCAAGGTTTGATCTCAATGAGCATTCCTAGACACTAACGCCACTGTTTGTAAGCGACCTTAAATGGTTTCTCAAATATCTCTACCCACAGTTCCGTTCAACAACAATGCTTGTAGGCAAAAATACCCATGCAATTTGAAAGAATATAAAGAGGCATAAGAAACTATGCAAGCAGTTTCAAATAAATTAGCAAATCATATTCGAGAAAAAAAAAAAAAAAAAAAAAGAGCAACTGCTAAATTTATTAAAGTATCATTCTGACTAAAATGGAGGTTTGGCTACCGGTTCTTGCAAACACCCTCCAGCATGATGCAATCCCAGAGGGCCGCTTTATCCCCACAGGAAACAGCTGCGTTTCCATTTTCCTCTGTGGCTGTCAGAGACAGGAAGTGTCCTGTTTGTTAAGCAAAGGCCAACAAAAGGCCTTCGCTGTGTTTTACAAAACTCTATTTCACATTACTATGGCAACACCTGCTTAACGTGCGCACACACAAAAACACATACCTGTTTCATCTTGATCAACTCTCTGCGTGTGTGTTCATCATTTCTTAAGTCCTTTTTATTCCCCACGAGGATGATGGGAACGTTGGGACAGAAATGTTTTACCTCTGGCGTCCATTTCTCTGGAATATTCTCTGCAAAAGAACAGAAAAAAAACACTTACTGACGATGCAGTATTGCAATGAACTGAATTTATTTATTACATTAAAATATTTTACAGTGCTAAAAGAAATAGTTCAGTCAAAAATAAACATTTATTCACCCTCCACTTGTTCCAAAGCGGTTTGAATTTCTTTCTTCAATAAACACAAAAGGAGATATTTTTAAAGAACGTTGGAAAGCAGTAGCCATTAACCTCCATTGTTCTTTTTTGTTTCTACTATAGATATCAATTGCTGCTTTTCCAACATTCTTTAAAACAAAACTTGCTTTAAGTTCAACAGAAGAAACAAATTCAGATTATGACCACTTAAGTGTGAGTAAATGATCAGCAAATTGAATTTTTGGGTGAACTACCCCTTTATTCAATTATCTTAAATTTAATGTAGCCTTTATAAACTTAATTTACCACTTCAGTTTTATTGTTTTTTTTAACTTCAATTTACTCAACTGTTCCAAACTTGGAATTAGAGTAAGAATTTGTGAAATGTTTCTAATGCAATTATGTTGTTATAAGTTGTAATTTTTATGATTTTAGTTTTAAATGAATTGTGACTACTACAACTGAAAATGAGTGTTGTCCATTTTAAAGGGCACCTATTTTGCCCCTTTTTCAAGATTTAAGATAAATCGTTTTTGTCTCCAGAATGTGTCTGAAGTTTCAGCACAAAACACTCATCAGATTTGTATTATACCTTTCAGAATTTTGGAATTTGCTGCTCTGAACACAATGTATCTGTTTATTGCTGGTACTTTTAATGCTAGTTCTCCATACCCACCGTTCCCACCGCCTGTCATAGTGTGCCTCAGTCTCTGACTGCATCAGATAAACATCACAGTGGCAGCCATTAAGAAAGCAGACCTCATGTTACGTTTGTGAGAAATACTACAGTAAAATCTTTCCCAATGATTATTTGATGTATTTGTTATGGATTTAATTCAAGCCTTTCTGCAATGATGCAACACACAGTGTCGTAACAAAGTTCACACACACAGACACGCAGCGGACACACGCATGCAGCGGACGCACGCACGCATACACACTCGCACACACACACACGCACACGCGCACACGCACACACACACACACAGCGTGTGTTTAACTTTGTAATGTTTTGCATGGCAAATGTGACAGTATACAAGTTAATATCCACTGTTGTATGGGTATCTGTTATGTTAATGTAAAAAATAAACCAGATTTAACAATCGCAAACTGGGATTCAAGCGTCTTCTTTTATAACTGTACTGACATGCGGCTTGTGGTGATAAAGTAAATACGGTAAAATCGCTGTAATTCATTACAAACATGCACTGTTTTAAAAACCTTTTAAACATGAAAAACTCATTCTTGATCACATTTGATGATGATTGATAATCAAAGAGAGCTGAACAGATCTTTTAATCCCGGTCGCTTTACGCACATTCTGTTTTGTTGATATGATTATACATGTTACTACAGAGACATGTTAATATGTGGCTGTCAATCTATTTGGTGGGTGGGGAAACCACACTCTTACGTTCTATTGTTAAATTGTCGTTAAATTGTCTTTCTATGACTCCAGTATGATAGATGACACACCTACACACAATTCTGTCCAAACAGCTTACAAAAGATGTTTTATCATAGGTGCCCTTTGATACACTTTAAAGTGTAGCTTGTTTCCATGATGCAAAACAGAATTTTAAGCCTCAAAACTTCAGTCTTCAGTTTCATATGACCCTTAAAGATTACTCTAAAAATGCTGATTTATTGCTCTAGCAGTATTTCTTCTTCTTGTCAGTGTTGAAAACAGTTCTTTAATATAATATAAGATTAATTTCTATTTGAAACCACAATATTTTTATACAATATAATTAATTGAATGTGTCCTTGTACAAAGTATAATTTTTCTTTCAAATGAACTCTTCCTGAAATTCCTTTAAAAAATATAGTTACGCGTGTAGTTAGTTACGTACCTAAACTATCTGGACTGTCTACAGAGAAACACATCAGGATAACATCTGTGTCTGGATAAGACAATGGCCTCAACCGATCATAGTCTTCCTGGCCAGCTGTGTCCCATAAAGCCAACTCCACCTGAAAGAGAGATGGATATGAAGACCATTCAGTGTTTTGTCAGCCAAAAGAACGTCTCTAAACTCTGACTGGCATTAAGATCAATGTCAGTACCCATAAATGTATATTTAAAAATTATTATAATAATAAAAATTATTTTTAAAAAAATTATAAATCTGAGGTTATTAAAGCTTGACTGAACTACACATAGGACAAAAAGTCTTCATATGGAAGTACAAACATTAAATCACATTTGAAGTAAAATAGTAGCGTATATGACTCTGTATTCCCCTTGAGACGTTTATTTAATTGAATAGGGCTTTGTCGATTACTATGAGGAGGCATAAATCTACAAAATGTGAAAAATGGCCGGTCACTCGAATCACTTAAAAAAAATCCAGAAATGTTTTCCTAAAAAAATATTAAATCATTTTCAGCTGAAGAAAAAAGTCAAACATCATGGAAGGCCTGGGGCTGAGCAGAAATCAGAAAATATTAATTTTTGGGTTTCAAACTATTCCTTTAACAGCGTTTCTCAACCACGTTCCTGGAGGACCACCAGCTCTGCACATTTACCAGCTCATTAGCAGAGACTGATAGACCTGTAATGGGTGTGACAGAAAAAACAGACACATAAAACATGCAGTGTTGGTGGTCCTCCAAGAACATGGTTGAAAAACACTGCTTTAACATAGATTGTTTTTAATAATGTGGCTTTATATGAATTTATTCCCAAACAACATTGTAGGGTTGTACATCCTTAAGAGTATTGTTTGGCTTTTATGAAAGCGAAGAAGCCAAATCAATACTATTAATACTTTTAAAATTGTACTTGTTGATAAATATTATTGACACAATAGAAAAATGTAAAAAAAATAAATAAATAAAAAAATTATATATATATATATATATATATATATATATATATATATATATATATATATATATATATATATATAATATATAATATTTAATTATATATTATATAATATATATAATATATATTCTTATATTTTTATATATTTAAAAGCATATGTAATATAAAAATAAATCACAGTAAAACCTTAGCCCACAAACTTACAAAAATGCATTACTAAATAAAATTGCATACGAGTTGCTGTACTGTTAACACAAAAGTAGTCTTCTTGGTATTCTACAAGCCAGCTTCAAATTTCAACAATTATCTTGCAGTAATAAGACAATATTTTCTTCTTATAAAAAACAAACAAACAAACAAACAAACAAACAAACAAACAAACAAACAAACAAACAAACAACATATGACTCCTTACAATGCCCTTATAAGTGAGCCACAAATTTTGCCCTCAACAAAATTCACAAACTGAACAAATCCGATATGCCAACAACATAAAAATAAACGCACATATGCTTGCACACATGAACAAACAGACAGCTTCTCAGTGTATGTACCCACAAAAAAAGGAAGAACGTGTCCAGCACAGTTTAATAACAACCCACCTGTTTGCTGTCCACTTCTATGTCAGCAATGTAGTTTTCGAACACTGTGGGCACGTAGACCTCAGGGAACTGATCTTTACTGAACACAATCAGCAAACAGGTCTTTCCACAGGCTCCATCTCCCACAATCACCAGCTTCTTACGGATAGCTGCCATTACTAGAGAAAGACACAAAAGAAAAAGAGGAATTGTTCAAACTAAAAAGCACAAAAATATATTTTGCTATAACGAATCCCTGTAAATCTGTAAATGACTCCACTTAGAATGTTTATTAGCTTTGTTATTTGTATTTCTATATAAATTGTCATATACTATATACACACACACACACACACACACACACACACACACACACACACACACACACACACACACACACACACACACACACTACAATACAGTACACAGAATTAATTTTATAAACAGGGATGTAACAAGTACAACATATATGTATTGTACTTATTACATCCCTGTTTATAAAATTAATTCAGTCACTGTATTGTACTGTTAGCATTTGAATAAAATACATTAATATTGTATATAACTAATATAAATAATATAATTGTATATAATTAATATTCATTATTTAGTATACACTTAGTACAGCATCTATAATCGAAGAAATCAATATAATATAACTAGGTTGTCATTTTGTCAAATATCACATCAAAATATTAGCCCCTTTCACACTGGTAAATATGCGGAAATGACTTTACCGGTAAATTCAAAAGTGTTGCTCACACAGGCAAGATCAATCAACATCCATTCCAAAACACTGGTAAATTCTGACAAAAATCAACCAAAAATAAGCTTGAAACGGCAGCACTTGTATTTGTAAATATTGACAGCATTACAAACTTTGTGGATGGTTAAGTATTGTGAACAACTTCGATAGAAACATATGGAGGAACACTTTAAAGAATGATCTGTATGTGTAAAAGGGGCTTATACAATAGATAGATATTAATAGATACAGTGACACTCAAAAAGACAGGTACTTACATAAAGTCAAAAAGTCTAGAAACTAGCAAACATATTAATCTTTTAATGTTGTATATTAATCCATAACTGGCTTAAACTAGCCAAAAAAAAAAAATTGCCATGTCAGCAACCAAGACTATTTTCATGGCAGGAACATTTCAATAATAAATATTCAATAATAAATATACAATTAAAAATCAACAAACAAATGAATACATCAATTGAAGATTTTTAGTGTTAATACATGATAGAAATTCTAAAATCTTTTCTAAAACGAGCGAAAAGCTATAATACAGATTACAGATAGTATTACTTTAGAAAAGAGCAACGAAGTGGCGCAGTAGGTAGTGCTGTCGCTTCAAAGCAAGAAGGTCGCTGGTTCAAGCCTCGGCTGGGTCAGTTGGGGTTTCTGTGTGGAGTTTGCATGTTCACCCTGCATGTTCATCTCCCTCTCTCTGTGGGTTTCCTCTGGGTGCTCTGGTTTCCCCACAGTCCAAAGACATGTGGTACAGGTGAATTGGGTAGGCTAAATTGTCCGTAGTGTATGAGTATGAGTGTGTGTGAAGGACTGTGTGTGGATGTTTCCCAGAGATGGGTTGCGGCTGGAAGGACATCCTCTGCATAAAAACCTGCTGGATAAGTTGGTGGTTCATTCCGCAGTGGCTACCCCGAATTACTAAAGGGACTAAGCCGAAAAGAAAATGAATTATTTTAGAAAATGCGGCATAGATGCATCCTATTTGGCGTTTTAGTCTTTTTTGAACATGTACGTTAGGTGCTGCTTGTCAATCAGACAACACTTCTGTGTTCGTCTTGCTGTCAATTGCAGGAAAAATGATTGATGAAAAGCAGTGTTGGGCAAGCTACTTGAAAAATGTAGTGAGCTAAGCTATTAGCTACTCTACTTAATTTGTAGCTTAACTGCACTAAAAGCTACCCTCTGGGAAATGCAGCAAGCTAAGTTAAAAGCTACTTGGCAAAAGTAGCTAAGTTAAATCTAAGCTATTTTTGCATTTTTTTTTTTTTAAATCGAAGCAACTTAAATCCAAGTCAATCATATCTTAGAGGTCAATAAAACTGTCAATGAAACAGGCAAATTTATGAGGCAAATTTATAAAATGAGGCATAATTCAGTTCAGTTATTTACTGTAAATAATATGCTGTACTAAACAGAATAATATTATAGTATATAACTGCTAAAACAAAAACTCCAATAAAAGCAGGTGTTACACATTTAAAATACTATTGTAATTTATAGTAAAGAAATATTTTGACATAAGCATTATGCATATTATATATTTATAGTAGTAACTCTCCCTCAGTCATCTTTCCATCAAGGAAGTTTCTTGTGCTGGCCTAATTTGGTCTGTCAACCACCATAAAACAGGTAGAAGAAGAAGAAATCATGATTCTTGCTATCATATGGATTTACTTTCACCGCTATAAACCGGCTTCACAGCTCTGTGAATGTCGGTGCCTTCACTTATTGATCCGCGATTGGTAAATGTAGCTTTGTGGACTATACTGCGCTACTTGACTAATAAAATATCTTCGCTACTGAAAAGCTATTTGATTTAGAAAGTAGCAAAACTACCGCCAAGCTACTGGGAAATGTAGCTAAGCTAGTAGCGTCACTAATTGTAACGACGCTACTGCCCAACACTGATGAAAAGTTTGTGATTAACCACTGAGAGTTTCACTCAACTGCAGGCGGAGCAGCTAAGCATTGAGCTCAGATGACTTGTGACAAACACAGAGCATAATATAAAAACAGAATGTGCGGCGAGTTGAGAGCGCCAATGCTGGATTCAGTGACCGGTGCACCACACCTCTCCACCCATGCTGCACTGAAGGCTGTTAGATCTCTGTGTGTGTGTGTGTGTGTGTGTGTGTGTGTGTGTGTGTGTGTGTGTGTGTGTGTGTGTGTGTGTGGTGACAGTCCTCACGCGGGCTTGTTATAATCAATATGAATATTCCGATCAAACTGAATACAATCTTACATCAACAACACATGGCAAGCAACAAGTTGATAATAACAAATAATCATATTAGATTACAAACAGCCCAACAAGTTGTTTAGCACATGTGCACTGGTGCTGTGATGTTTACACATGTACTATTTTTCCTGAGGTGATTTAAAGTAAAATACACAATGGCACTCAATCAAACAGCTACAATGATAACGAACATGGTTACTTACTGAGCTATTAATGCCCAGCGGACTTTGAAGGAATAAACAGTGTGAGGAAAGCTCCATTATAGTGCACTGGACAAGTTTAAACAAGTTCCGCCCACGCGTGCGTGGCAGGCATGCCTGTACAATTACGTAATTTATCGGCTTAAAGATAGCGGCCTTATTTAGACATCGGATTGATAACGAAAATCTTAAAAATAGCATTTATCGGCCAATAACAATATGGCCGCCAATATATTGCGCATCCCTAGTTCATTTCGTAAGAAAAGGCTTCTGGAATTATTAAACGCAGGACAGTTCAGTAAAACGTGTTTTGATCAAATCTAGCCTTAAAAATGTCTTGAAATTCTGTCTAAGATTTCAGGTTGGATTTCATATAATGTATTATTTTCCAATGGACCCCACTACTCCACTACTCCCACTTGCCGTTTGTTTAAAATGTAAACATTGATAAACGGTCTCATCTCTGATGGAGGAATTTGCCATTTGTTCACCACTTGCGTCAAAGTATCCTTAGCAGCTGCATCAGGTCGCTCACTTAACAGTGGACAATAAAAAATTAAGCTGATAAATATTTTAAAAACCTGAGAAAAAAAAAAAAAAAAAAAAAAAAAATCACAGATTTATGCCAAACTTGCTTCTCTCAGCAGGTGGCGCCATGACTGTAATTCAAAATTGGCATATAGATGTCTTCAGGAGAGGAATCTCATCGAACGTGAATTTTCAGGCATATCCGACAATGCATGTCTGAGTAATAACAACTTCCTGTTTCGTGGCAAAACATACAAGCTTGTGAGGCAACCTCAGACATGCCCTTCATTGAAAATCTTCACAATTTAACATCATCAAGGCCTTTAGATTCCAACACCCAATTTTGGTGTTGGTCGGATAAAATCCCTAGCAGGACTTACGGGGGCCACTCTGTCAAACCATAGGTGGCGCTGTAGAGCCATTTGCCACACACACTTCCGAAACCAATAACAAACGTAGCATGTTTAGACCAGCAAAAAAGTGATATATTTTAAAGAAGAAGAAAGAAGAAGAGGAAGAAAGAAAAAGAAAGAAGAAGAAAGAAGAAGAATGGTGCAATTCCAATAGGGCCTGCACACCATTGCTCGGCCCTTAATAACTGTCTAAAATGAACCTATGTAGCTTCGCGAGAAACACAACAGTCCAGCAGAAACTATTCCAAGGTCAATCCTGCATTTATGCAGAATCAGATGCAAAAATGCTGATCAACGACCAAACTGACCTACAAAATGAACATCACACTTGAAAAAGAGAGCACATTTTGTCTAAGGCCTTATTTGGGAACATCAACACGGACACAAACAAGCAGTCTTTTTCAGAGTGTAAAAATGGAAAATACAGTATAAAAGTAAAAGGGGAACTATCCTGCCCCACCTGTTTCCCGCAATTTGGAGGAGAAGAAAAAAATAATAACAAGGACACGATGGCCCAAAAACGTCACCGCCAAAGAACATATACTAACAGGCACACATTTTTCTTTAAATAGTGCCAATCCGACCAGCTGTCCACTTTTAAGCAGGACATGCTTGCATATAGTGTTGCAGAAGCACTTCTATACAGTATTACTCAGTATATAGTAGCCTGTGTGCAAAGATCAGATGTGGCAAAGAAGAAATAAACAAACATAATACATAAAATCACGTTATTTTATACATTTACTGTGGCAATTCTATGTATTATAAACATAAATTTTACAAATACCATATTTATTTGGACAATTACCGCTGCATTTATTAATGTTTAATGATTATTTACCTTGGTTAATATTACCTTTAATTTAGAAAGCATTTACATTTTTTTTTTTTTCAACTTTACACTACAGTTTCAACAGTAAAGATTTTCAAAAAACAAATAAGCTTTTACTCATCCATTAATACAGATTTTTTTTATTTAAAATAAATAAATCGAGCTCCAAGTCAGTAAACAATTAATGACAAAAAGTACAAGAAATTA